CATTGTACCACTTCACGCATTGCTTCGCATTCTTCCGCTTTAGTGCTATATGTCAAACCTTTCTGCCAACCAGGGCTCCCTCCATTATCATCTCCTTTTAACAACGTCATTTTTGTACTTCCCTTTTAACGCAGATTCGTATTCTTAGAACCACAAAATGGAATGAATCCCTTCAAGATATGTGCTCATTGCTGGACCGTTTTCTTGTACGTACCTCAAGACATTGCCATCAAAGTGATTCTTCGTCACAGCCAAAACTAGCAACTTTTTCATAGTTTTGCTACACAAATCAGGAGTGCTCGTTTGCTCATTTAAAATCCTTATGGCTATCTCAATAGCTTCATTCAGCTGGGTATTTGAGTACAACCTCTTTACATCAAACGAAATTGTACTCTCGTCACAGTCCAGTTTCGTTTCCTCAAAGTTTCCTTAGCTATATGAGTATTCATTTCTATGTTTGCTCCCTATATTTTCTCATGGTATATTGCCAATTGGCAATGTTTCGTTCATATGTTTATACGAGCTACCGGCTGAAGAGATTACAGGAAGAGCTTGAATTGTGCACTTCTTCTGCACGTCCATAGATCTTATCCTAGTACAGACATCTTCGCTGGTCTCAAATTTTTTTTCATGGAAAGTAATTCAACAATTTTTATCGAAACAAATTCAGTCAGCTTAATTTGCTCACTATATTGTTCTGATTGCTATAAGTCATCTAGTTTTTTTTCATTTGTCTCCTTCTTTTTCATTGTCTAAGACAACACATCTACAATTATTAAGCCAAAAACCCATTGCCCTTCAAACACTTTCTTTTTTAATACCTTATATGTTTTCACATGCTGATTTTTTCAAATTTTTGGCTAACTTGTTTTAGCTGCTTTAATCTCGCACAATTTCTTGTCAGGTTTTGAGTTTGACTTCAGTTCAGACAAAAAATTATCAAAAGCCGTGAAAAATTATCTACTTTGAACTTGTCCTTGTATCTTCATCGACTGCGGATAGCTCAGTTCATGCAACATACTCAATGATTTTTACTCAATTTTTTTATGGTCGAGTTTGTTTCCTTGTGAATTTCTCACATTAAATTTCGTGGCGGCTGATGAGGGTTTTGGTATAACCTCTTGCTGTTGGTTGAGATAGAATACTTCTGAAGGCCAGTAACTTTCATCTCTATCCCTTCTGACTACCTCGCTTGCCTTATCTAGGTTCCCTGATGTCTTACTTTTATCTGCATTTACCTGGCTTAACGCAGATTCCTGGAAACTGATATGAAAACTGCGCCTAATTTGTTACAAAAACGCCAAAACTTTACGCGCGAAGCAGACAATCAAGTATAATTTCTTAATCGGGGTATTTTTTTCAGAAAAGTAATTTTCAGGAAACTGCTTTTATTTTTATCAAAAAGTTTCAGATATTCCAACTCAAAATTCCAAGTGAGATATCTTCTGAGGAATAATCTAATTGTTGGTGGCAACAAAACAGCAGGCATTTTTTCTGCCGGCCAAGAGCACTGAAACTAATGCGGCACTAGCAAGAAAAAATTAGTTTACTGGCATTTAATGGTCGTTCTTGTCCTCCTCTCGAAATCCCCCAGCCAGCGCATGTGCTTCGCGACTTACTTGCTATGGCTTTCGATCTGTGGCCATATCTTTGAGAACATGCAAACAAGATATCTCGATGGGATATTTTTTCAGGCATTGATTTCAGTTCCACATTGTTTGGTTGATATAGTTCTAGATAATCCATGAGGATCGCCAGATTATGTCTTTTGTTTGTGGAGATAAGATTACATGTTCTCTTGATGACGATGATATCTGTTTTCCCCAGACCTTCAAATATATCGGAATTGTCCGTTCTCACTCAGTAGAAAATCGCATCTAATTGTTGCCGCTTTTTTGCTGACACGGTATCAGTTCGCTAGGGCGTATGATTGTTATTGCGCTGAATTGATATGCTGAGATTCATTGTTTTTGTCCTCTTCATTGCATTGGGGGTTCGAAGAAGCCGAGGATTGCGTTTTTTTTTCTGTTTGAGTATCTTTTGAGTTCTTGCAGTCTGTGAAAAAAGAAACTGGTAGCTAAAATCATCGCCGTTTTAACCCAGCAAGAGCTAGAGACATAATAAACCGGAAGCATAGTTCTGTTGGAGGCTTAATAAACTTTTGAATACGTCACTGTTCTCCTTCGAGGAATATCTTATCCTAGATTTACTCAGACTTCTTCCCTGATCTTAACTTTTTCCTTGGTCAGTAATTCAACAGTTTTTATCAAAACTAATTCAGCCAGGAGGTTGTTTTGCTCACTAAATTGTTCTGATTGCAATAGATTATCTAGTTTTCTCTCATTAGTCTCCTTCTTTTTCATCGCTCAAAAAAACACATCTATCAATCTTTTAGCCAAAAATCCATTGTCCTCCAAACACTCTTTTTTACTCTCTGATATATTTCACATGTTGTTTTTTTCTTTAGAGTTTGAAATTCCCAACCCTAGAGTTGGGTGCTGTTAGGATTGCGAACATTATCTTCAATTGTGACGGCTCAAATCCTTGTATTTTATGAGATATGACATTTTTAAATATTTTTTCAAGGATTGCGAATGTTGTCTTCGAATGTGACGGCTGAATTTCTTGTACTTTTTTGAGATATGACGTTTTTTGTGTTTATTTTCAAAAAACTTTCAGGAAAACTAAACGAAATTTTTTCCTTCAAAACTTGAAATTCCCAACCCTGTAGTGCGGGGCTATCAGAGTGCACTCAGGGGTTGCGCACCTTGCCTTCAATTATGACTGCTCTAATCCTTGTAGTTTTCGAGATGAGACGTTTTTGTGATTTTTTCAAAAAATTTTCAGGAAAATTGAACGAAATTTTTTTCTTTAGAGTTCGAAATTCCCAACCCTATAGTTGGGTGCTGTTAGAGTACTCTCAAGGATTGCGAAACTTGTCTTAAATTTTGACGGCTCAAATCTTTTTGTTTTTCAAGATTTGACGTTTTTTTTTTCATATTTGTTCAAGGATTGCGAATGTTTTCTTTGAATGTGACGGCTCAAATTCTTGTATTTTTCGAGATATGACGTTTTTTAAAAATTTTTCAAAAAAAATCAGGAAATTTAAACCAAATATTTTTCTTCAAAATTTGAAATTCCCAACCTTGTAGCTGGATGTTGCTGAAATAGTCTCAAGGATTGCGAACCTTGTCTTAAATTGTGACGGCTCAAATCCTTTTATTTTTCGGGATATGACGTTTTTTTAATATTTTGTCAAGGATTGCGACCGTTGTCTTCGAATGTGACGGCTCAACTTCTTGTACTTTTTTGAGATATGACGTTTTTTGTGTTTTTTACAAAAAAATTTTCTCAAAATTTAAACAAAATTTTTTCCTTCCAAATTTGAAATTCCCAACCCTGTAGTTCGGGGCTATCAGAGTGCTCTCAGGAATTGTGCACCTTGCCTTCAATTATGACTGCTCTAATCCTTGTAGTTTTCGAGATGAGACGATTTTGTGATTTTTCCAAAAAATTTACAGGAAATTTGAACGAAACTTTTTTCTGCCGTCAGGGTACTCTCAGAGGGTTCAAATCTTGACTCCAAATATGAATACTGGAATAATTGTAGTTCTCGAGATTTGGCTATTTCGGGATTTGACTGAAAATTGGATTGAAAAAGGTTTATAAAATTTGAAATTACCAACCCTGTAATTGGCTGCTGTCAAAGCACAGAAAAAGCCTGCAGATGTGGTTTCCAATATATGTGGTTTTTTCAAGAGTTACCAAAACTTCGAAGCACTGGATGTGCCTTACACGCTAGTACCTCTGAAGGCCAGTAATTTTCATCTCTATCCCTTCTAACTACCTTGTTTGCCTTAGCTAGTTTCCCTGATGCCTTACTTTTATCGGCATTTAACTGGCTTAACGCAGATCCCTAGAAACTGATATAAAATCTGCGCACAATTTGTTATTAAACCGCCAAAACCGTACGCGCGAGTAAAAAATTAATTACAATTTCTTTATCGGGGCAATTTTTTCAAAAATAAAATTTTCAGGAAACTGCTATTAAGAAACTGCAACATATTGGAATCCGAATACGCAGACATCGCTGGAACAGTGTGGTGTTGCATTACTTGCAATAAACAACAGGAGGCAGATCGAACTGAGAGTGGTGTTAAAATTTTTCTAAGATATGTGGACGACATAGTTGGAACTGTCAAGGGCGATCCTGGGGTAGTTCTCGAGTCTGCAATTAAGTTGCATCCAAATTTGCAGTTCACCATAGAAGAACTTGTTAGTAACGGTTATTTGGCCTTTTTTAAATGTCAACGTGAATTCAGGAAAAAAGTCACAATTGGGTGGTACCAAAAACCCACTGATACGGGCAGCATTCTAAATTTCAGAGGCTGCGCACTTTTGCAGTAGAAAAGAAATGTTACAGAGGGGACGGCTGACAGAGTCTTCAGAGGTACCTCAACATGCAAAAATTTTGACCATGCATTGGAAAAAGAAATGGAAACAAGGGATTGAAATTAATTGAAAGAAATTTAAAATGTTAATTCTCAAACGTTTTCGCACATTTTGTGCATCATCAGGATTAAAATTTTTCACAATATTTACAAAACGATCAAAGATCTGAAAAAAGAGAAACATGTCTAAAAATGCTATAAAACTTTTTGACCAATCAATTTTAAACCACTGTAATTACATAATAAATTACATAATCATAAATATTATTTTACTGTAAATTTCTGAGATTTTTTAGTTTTCTGTTCTTTCGGGGTTATAAAATTTCGATTTGTGAATATTTTTGATTCTGATATATCAGTTTTGTAGTTTTTAGCCATGTTATACATAAACTATAATTTTAGTGTTAATTCCCGGCTCCTGAATTCATCGCGTGTGTTGATCCTCGGCCTCTCGCTCCAGATATGCAAAGCCTCTAGTGTGAGTAGCTTATGAGTGTTGACTGTTTAGTCTATAATCTCTGACTTCAGCTCAGCAGCACCGCCTACCTCCTTATTAAATTCTAACAAGTGTTGCCCTACTGGGGAGTCCCCTTTGCGGTATTCATCGATCGTCGTGGCTAAATGTCGGACTGTCTGGCCGACATAGGTGGAGTTACATCCAGTACATGTAAGCTTATACAACACTTTGGATCACAGTTCACGAGCAAAGGAAGTTTTAAGGGATGGCAAGCGTGTTTTCAATTTTCTTGTTGTAAAAAGTATTTGTGCCCCGGATATTTGCCGAACATTTGCAGCTAACAGTTGAGATGGGTTGCCGCGATATTGCATTGTAAAAATGGGGTTGAGTCTCTTAACCATTTATCATTTCTCGGTTATGATACCTTCACCTCTATATTTTTCTTGCCCTCAATGATCTTGTTTAGAGTTTCAAACACTACCCTTTCCGACAATTTTTTTTTGATATTGATTTTTATTCCATTGTGTCTGACTTTTTTCCAATGCTCGGTCAAAATTTTCCCATGTTGAGGTACTTCTGCACACCCTATGAACCGTCCCTTCACTAACGTTTCTTTTGTACTGCAAAGGTGCGCAATTTCTGAAATTTAGAATGGTGCCGGTATCAGTGGGTTTTTGGTACCACCCACATGTGACCTCTTTTCCTGAGTCCACGTTGACATTTAAATCCAAAAAGGCCAAATTACCGTTACTATCAAGTTCTTCTATGGTGAACTGCAAATTTGGATATAACTTATTGGCAGCCTCGAGAACTACCCCATGATCGGCTTTGACAGTTCTAACTATGTCGTCCACATATCTTTGAAAAACTTTAACACCATTCTCAGTACGATCTGCTTCCTGTTGTTTTTTGCAAGTAATGCAATACCATACTGTTTCAGCGATGTCTGCGTATTCAGATTCCGATATGTTACCACACCCTAAGAAGTACCAATTCAAACAGGCTTCGCATTCTACCCCTTAGTTCGATATGTCACCTTTTTCTGACATCCAGGCCAGACCTCCTTGTTACCCTCCTTTAGCACAGTCAATTTTGGTACTTCTTTCTTTAATGCAGCTTCGTATTCTTTGAGCCACAAGCTGGCCAGTATTACTGCAAGGGAGGCGCTAATGGCTAAACCGTCTTTTTGTACATACCACAAACCACTGCATTTAAAGTGTACCTTACCCACTGCCAAATTCAGTAGTTTTTTCATAGTTTTGCGTGATGTTTCCGGAGGGTTGACTTGCTCATATAATCTCCTCAGGGCTATTTCAACCTCTTCCTTGAGCGGGACATTAGTTTACAATTTCTTTACATCAAGGAAGATTATACTCTCATCAAAGGCCAGTTCAGTTTTCTCCAAGATCTCCCTGGCCATTTGAGTGTTTGTGTCTATGTTTGCCCCCTCAATTTCATCAAAGTATTTTGCCAATGTTTTATTTAGGTTGTCATATGAGCAACCAGGTAAAGAAAGGACGGGACGAAGTGGTGTGCCTTGTTTGTGTACTTTTGCTAATCCATAGAGCCTCGCCGGCTGCGCCCCCGTTGATCTCAACCTAGTATACAGCGCTTCGCTAATCTCGTCCTTCTTTTTCATGGCGAGTAATTCTTTGTTCATCGCCATTTTACCTCAAGCACTACTGACATTATAACAAAAAGCGGTAGTAAAATTCTGTACAAACAGAGAAAAAAATCTAATTAATGACTGTTTTCCTTAAAGGAATATAACAGTTTGCTTATAGTTTTTCGTAAAAAGGGTTAAAATTTAACGAAAATGGTTATCCCTGGCCATTTGATTGTTTTTTTTTTATGTTTGCCTGATCAATTCCATCCCTCAAACACCCTCAAGCCAAAACAGCGAACACTAACTATATAACTGAAGTAAATGAAGACACAATGCCATACCACCCCTTTATATTCGAACAAATAAACGCCAAGACAGTTTGAAACTCAACCCTGAAAACGCACGGAAGCCACGGTCCCTCAGGTCTAGATGCGTGCGAATGGAGAAGGATATTAACTCACTTCAACCAGATAACCATTGAGCTTTGCAAAACAATTGCTAAACTATCCTTTACAATAGCAAGTAAATTTCTCGCCCATGAAAACCTAACGGCGTACAACTTGTGTCGCCTGATACCTCTGGACAAAAATCCAGGGGTACGGCCCATGGGTATATGTAAAGTTCAGAGAAGAATAATTGGCGAAACAATCACCCAATGTGTAAAATCAGACCCTAAAAAACTCGGAAAAAATTTCCAATTCTGCTTAGGCCAGAAGTGTGGAATCGAATATGCTATCCAGAGCTTGAGGAACGAGTTTGAGAAACCCGAAACGGAAGCCATACTACTTATTGATCCAGAAAACGCCTTCAACTCGCTCAATAGAGAAATTTCTCTGGAAAACGTAGAAATCCTTTGTCCGGCACTACATCATGCGCTTGCCAACTCATATAAACATCACTCAAGTTTATATGTTAATAACACGGTTTTGACATCTACCAAAGGCACAATGCAAGGTGATCCCCTCGCAATGGCAATGCACGGAATTGGGATAATCGCACTGATTGAGCTCCTGCAAAAAACAAATATCACCCAAAAATGGTATGCAGATGATGGAAGCGCTGCAGGTGATATTAAGAGTCTCCGCGTAATACTGGACAACCCTGATGTGCACGAAAAGGCTTTCGGATACAATGTGAAGCGTTTCAAGTGTCAACTCATAGTAAAAGAAAACCGTCGTGACAGCGCCATAAAAGTATTCGAAGGCATAAATTTTACAATGGTAGACAATTTTAGAGTCCTTGGATCGGTTATAGGAACACCATCAGCATGCGATAAAAACATGGAAAGCGAAATTGAAAAGACAGCTACCCTAACTGAAAAGTTTTCCAAAATAGCTAACACATCACCGCAATATGCGTGTTCCTGCTACACAAAGGGAGATCAAAATAAATTTAGCTTTCTAAACAGAACAACTCCGGAAGCATTTAAGAAAAAGGATGAAATGGAGAAAAACGTAAGACAGCAGCTACTTCCCAGTATTACTGGTAAAAACCATTTAACCGATGAAGATCACAACCTTTTTGCACTACCACTAAGAATGGGAGGATAAGACAACCTCAGTAACACGGAATTTTCCCGAAATTATGATTGGTCACAAGCAATTTGTGATCCGTTAGAAAACAGTGATCCACAAATAGCTGAAACAGAAAAAACTCTGATAAACAGAAACATCAAAACTGAAAGACAGATCATCTTCCTCTCAAAAAAGAATAAAAAATATGCAAAATTGCTCATCAGAAACAAAACTGACAATAAATCAGATTTTAAAGATGGATTACATCTGAGATATGGATGGGAACCACCAAACATCCCAACATACATGCCCATGTGGACAACCGTTCACACTGACCCACTCTCTACACTGTCCCAAAGGTGGATACACTCGACTAAGACATAATGAAGTTCGCGATAGTTTTGCGACACTCCTGCACGAAGTATGCCATGATATTGAAATAGAGCCGAAACTTCAATCGTTCACAATAAAAGAACCACCACTGAAGATGACGCTCGACTTGACATCAAGGCAAATGGACTCTGGGGAGGCCGATTCATTCGAACTTTTTTCGATGTAAAAATTTTCAACCCCCATGCTAAATCCTGCCCCAAAACTATATCTGACGCCTACAAATATCATGAGAGTGTAAAAACATTAGTACACCAACAAAGAACTCTGGATGTGTAACACAGCAGCTTTGTTCCACTAGTTTTTGAGTGTACCGGAAGAGCAGCACCAGGCTCTACAAAAACCATCCGGAATCTAGCAGAGACACTAAGCGAGAAACGGAACGAATCATGTTCGGACACAGTAAACTTTATAAGAACAAAAGTAAATTTTGCACTTCTGAGGAGTGCAATCCTCTGCTTTAGGCAAAAATCTTAAAAATACATCCAACATAGACAATTCTATCTGTGCTATAGTCGAGGAGGGTAGTTTTTAATTGACAATTCTCTTGATTTATTAATATCGACTAGATTCAGCCATAAAATTTTGCCGATGTATTTATATAGCGTTGGTACGGCCCTATCCAACCTGTGCATGTAACGTCGCATGACGAAAGGGCCCATTTTATTTGGCCCCTTTTTTAAAAAAAAAAGAAACTAAAATGGTTATAAGATATATATAATTTTAGTTCAAACGTTTTCGCACATTTTGTGCATCATCAGGATTAAAATTTTGGACAGTATTTACAAAACGATCAAAGATCTGAAGCGATCAAAGATCTGAAACGATCAAAGATCAGACCAAAGATCAATAACCGCCAAAACCATACGCGCGAAGCAGAAAATCTAGTACAATTTCTTAATCGGGGCAATTTTTTTCAGAAATGTAAATTTCAGGAAACTGCTTTTAATTTTATCAAAAAGTTTCTGGATTCCAACTCATTATTCCAAGTGAGATTTCTTCTGAGGATTAATCTAATTGTTAGTGGCAACAAAACAGCAGGCATTTTTTCTGCCGGTCAAGAGCACTGAAACTAATGCGGCACTAGCAAGACAAAAATTAGTTTTTTGGCATTAAATGGTCGTTCTTGTCCTCCTCTCGATATCACCCAGCCAGCGCATGTGCTTCGCGACTTACTTGTGATGGCTTTCGTTCTGTGGTCAAATCTTTGAGAAAATGCCAGCAAGATATCTCGATGGGATTTTTATTATTATTATTATTATTAAGAATTTATACGTTACAAAACGTAAAGGAGTTTCCTCTTATAGTCTCCAGGTAGTTGAGTCCATCCATAGGTAGTCGGACTGGAAGTGGGACTAGATGTACTTAAGCAGCCGAGACTTGAGTGCAACCGGCTTGAAGAACTTTACGCGTTGAGGAAGGCGGTTGGCCAGGGAGGGCGCCCAAAACCAAAAGTTTTGCTCTAAAAGCTTCTTCCTGGGTATGCCGAGCTCAAAGGGCGGACTGTCTCTAGCACGTGCATGTCGTGTGTTTACGCTCATATGAAGGAAACGTGTCGCATCAATATCGTAACGGCCGTCGAGGAAGGAAAA